TTTAAGCAAGAAGTGGTAGGACCAGAGTTGCTTTCTAGAAATAACATCTCAGAAAGCCTTAAGTAGAGTGAATTAGAGGAGTGCGAGTCCCAAGACCTGGAGGTCATTAGGAGGATGGAGAAGTCTAGGTGAAAGGTAGTATGGGTCAAAGGCCTACACTAAGTGGCACTGCTAGAAGGGCAGAGCAGCCAGACAGGTAAGAATTGCTTGGGACAATCTTTCCAACTTCAGACCAAGCCCATTAGTGAGCCATGAAATCAATTTAATAGAAAATAGCTGGGATTTATGACTAAAGCATCCTTTGCAAGAATTTGGGCTTTGGAAAAAATCAAGTATATTTTGAAATAAAGGATTAAATACTAATATAAATAATGGCCTAATCATATTTTAGTTCACCAAGAGGATGTTGTATAGATATGAATTTACATAAACGTGGGTATGGATATATTGGCAAATGATGTCAAATGAAGCTCTTCAAAAGTCATGAATAAAAATGTTTGAAATGCTGGCTTACAAGGTAGTAAGTAGTAGGCCTTGGTTACCTTTGGATGGGATGGGACAGGCTACAAGAAAAAGTATGGTTAAAGTGATTCTATGGCTACATGTTTTTATTTGTTTTGTTTGCTTTGTGTTTTGGGGTTTTTTGTTTGTTTGTTTTTTGTTTTGTTTCTGGTATGGGGGATCAAACTTGGTTCCTTGCGCTTGTGAGGCAGGCAGCAGAACCCCTGAGCTAAATCCCCAGCCCAGCACATGTTTTATTTTGAACTTGAAATTTGATGAGGTTATGAGCTCACCAGGAGATGCTAAGGAATATGTGGGTTAATGGGCCCAAGACGAACAAAAGAAGTCAAAGGTACACATACAAACATGACTAGGGGTTAGTGGCACATAGAGAAATGCTGAAGCCTTGGGAAAAGCCAATGTCAGCGAGAAAGAATGTGGGGAGCAGAGGGAAGATGAAAGTGAACCTGGAGCACACTAGTGCATAGGGTTTGAGCAAAGAGAAGAAAAAAGCATGGAAGAAAACGAAGCTCCACCAACCCAAGGATGAGTTTCAGGAAAACAGAGTTCAAATGCTTAGATGCAGCACAGAAGTTAAAACAACTGAAGTCTGAAACCCCATGTTGTCAATAAGGGCTTTGGTCAGAGTAATTTGGTCAGACCTAGCAAGGAAAACAGGATTGAGAGAGATGTTCAATTCTTTATTCCCAATTGTTCTTTTTTTTTTTTCTCATCACGCTAAAGATGTTTTTCTAGAATGAGAGGAAAAGATGACAGAGGATGCCACTGAAGAGATAAGAAAGTAAAGATAATAGACGCAACAATATCTTGACCTCATGAAATAGGAAGGGCGGGATCCTGAGACCTGGAGAGATATTTGTGTGGGAGTGACAGAAGGAAGAGTATTACAGGGATGATCTCTCTCTGGTCAGGAGCTCACTGTGAAGGGAAACATAGGTGGAAAATTGCATGGAGGCGAAGGGCTAAGGGTTGGGACATTCAGAGGTGCAGAAAGACACTAAAATAATTCTAGGCACCAAGAAATGCCCAGCTGAGAAGGGAATCACAAATACATATCCCAAGAGTGTAATTACTATTACCAATCAGACAGCGTCCTAAGTCTGTACAAAGTCATGCAATTAGAGATATCTTATATTTCTTTCTTTTTTTTAATTTGAGACAGGGTCTCACTATGTAGTTCAGGCTGGCCTTGAACTCACTATGGAGCCCAGGCTGGCCTCAAACTCACAGTGATCCTCCTGTCTCAGCCCCTTGAGTATAGGACTACAGGTATTCACCACCATACCTTGAGGAGGCATAATTCTGGTCCTGATAAAGACCTACTATTACACAGAAATGTAATTATTTATGAGTAGTGATATGACTAAAGGGACATAAGAACACATTCCAACAGGTAGAAATTACATAGGAGAGGAAACAATAATTTGTTCAGCACTTAGCAAGGCTATTATTAATGGGCACTATTTACTGTACTATAGTAGTTGGCATGGTCAGATTGGAAGGCAATATGGAGAGAACAGTCAAAGATGGAGGAGTTTGGGGGCCACATGGAGGCCCAGCACACTCAGCATCCTGGATAACAAGATTTTTTCAAGACTTGAGATAACACCAAGGCTTGGCACTTGGTATGACTGGCATCAAATAACACCACCTTCTCTAAATGGTCATTTATACACACCTTATGCCAAATGCACACAAGAACCCTTTGTGATGGGCTGTTATCCAATTTTCCTGTGAGAAAACTACATTTTAAGTATGATAGGATGTAACTGGTCACGGTTGGTAAATTAGCAGACACAAGAAGTACCTAAGTTCTTTGACTCAGCTGCTTCCCTAAGCCTTTTTTAAACTTATAACAATGAGAGTAATAACAATGCCTCTATAACAATCCATGGAGACAACGTATGTGAAAGTGCCAGGCAGGCACAGACCCGGTACAGATTTATCTAGCAGAGTAGTTGACTGGTATTAATGTCGCCTCCCTGGGGACATGTGGCAATGGGAATAGTTTTAAGTGTCACAGCTAGGGGACTGCTTCTGGCCTCTAATGGGAAAAGGCCAAGGATACTGCCAACCATTCCTACCATGAATGAGGCAGCCTCTCCAGCAAAGAATTATAGTTCCTAAAATGTCAACAGCGCTGAGACTGAGAAAATGTGTTGACAGCATAATGCAGGGGACTGGAAGCAGACATATGAAGCACAGCACAGCCTCACAAATTAACAAGTAAAACTTCATGTTAGGTAACTTGTAGATCTGGGACCTGGATCCAGCACTGGCTTTTGACAAGACATTCAAATATCTTGGCTCAGTTTTCAGATGGAGAAATAATAATACCTACCCTTTGAGACTGTTAAAAGGATGGGTGAAACACCTGTTAGTCTTATTGGTAATAAAAGACATGACAAGCAAAATAGGGTGAAATACCTTGTCAGAAGAGGAAAATTATGAAAAAAAAATCACAGTGACACTTTAGCCTTAGTAAGAGTCACAAATTGTGAAATTCTATCCTGAGTTGTATTCATCATAAAATAATTTAGATAAATTAATTATTGCATAATATTGTTAGCACAATACAGTGGACCCCTGACTTATGCACTCAATCTTTTCCCAAGGGATGGTTGTAACTCAAGTTAGTTGTAAGTCAATACAGCTGAGATCTGAATGTTTACCTGGGTACATGGTATAGGTAATAAAAGGTAAATGAATCTTCCATTAATGTAATTCACCCAAGTTGTTCATATGTAACGCCAGTGGTAACTTCAGGGTCCAATGTAAAATGAATCACCACTCTGAAGGAAATTCATAGACACCAAAAGTTACAAAAGTTCACTTTGTCATTACCAAGACTCATTACTATATTTCCTGTATGTTTTCTTAAAGATTTTATTAAGAAAGTGATTTCGTGATTAAAGTGATTTCATGTTTAAGGTTCTATCTACTATTGCTTGGTACCTTTTTTTTTTCAGCAAATTCCTTTCACAATATTTTTGATCTGTGCAAGCGTTAATTTGGATTTAAAATGCTACTGTAGCAATACTGGGGTTCTGACTTTCTCACAACTAGATACTTTCACAATGTATCTTGGCTGCTCAAGCCGCTCTCCTTTGCAGCGTAATCAACTGGAACAGAAGCAGCTCTCTGAAATGCAATCAATCAGTAGAAAAACATCTCTACATTTTCTGGCGATTAGTCTTTTCTTAAGTTTTCATGTATAGGTCTGTGCTGAGTGATCTCTTTTGCCTCCATCTACTCACTTCCCACTCAGTCTTTCCTCCTCAGCCCATTAACAATCCTGGTAGTTCCCCATGTCTTCTGTGCTACATCCAAAGCTGGTTATTTCTCTGATTTACCACCCCCAGCACTCCCAGCCTCTCTTACACAAGAGATCAGCTTTTCCCTCCAGACGCCCTTCAAACTGCATCCATCAAACCTGCTATTCAGGGGAAAGGGGCTCCTTTGAAAACTTCACCCCCATCACTATCCCTATCATAGGAACAGATAGCATGGAAATAAGAAATAAGGAAGCACAGGGAGGCAGCAACCAAGGGAAGACGTGCAGGGCAGAACAGGAGGTGAGACGTGAGAGGTGCACTGCTTGTGAGAGAAAGGCCAATCATGGGGCAAACAGATGAGCCCAAAGCTTAGAACTCACACTCCTAACCAATCCGTGATAGAAACCTTTTCTATATATGTATAATAAAGCTCCAGAGCCAGTCAAGCGCTGTGAAGCCTCCAGCACTGTAGGCATTTCATGTCTCAGTGCCCTAACAAGCTGTGAAGAAGTGAGAAGTGCAAGAATACTGTAATCTCCACCCTCAGACAAGGAAATTTAGATACAAAGAGGCTACAACTTGCCTTATCTCTCCTCCTCAAAATGGAAAGGAAAAAAAAATGGACACCAAACTTGCCAGATTTGTCTCCTACCTCAGAGGTCTGCAAGAAAAATAAGCTGTGAAACATGTAGAGTAGAAAGAAATAAAAGGAAGGAAGGGAGGTAGGAAGAAAGCGAGTAACACGCAAGAGAACCATACTGTAGGACCAGCTCTCAGGGAGCAGTGTATGAGGTGTCCCGGGCAATGTGCTCACCTAACAACGCTGAGAGGCCACAGGAAAAACTGTCCTCTAAGAAAATACTCAGATCAATGGCAACGCACCTCCGCTCCATTTTTTTCAACACAGGCTTTAATTCATAATGCGGTCGAGGGAAAGGGCCAGAGCAATGGGTGCGGGGGTAAACTCCGTGCACTGACCTCTGAAAAGCTGCAGAAGGGCAGGTAACAACTGACGCTACGTCTTGCCCTTTCTGCTACCCCACCCACCAGAATTCCCCAAACCTCATCATAGTTTTTGTTTGCTGGGGGGGCGGGGGGACTGACTGGTCCAATAAGAAACCACCGACGGCTTAAATAAAGTCACTTGAGGCCACGACGAAGACGATCCCAGCACCACTTCGTGTGTTTCTGAAGTTTCTCCTATTCACTGACTTCTGCATTGCCGGTTTCATCTTCGCGTGCATTTCCCGTCGTTCTCTAGGCTCAGCAGAGGCCGGGACAGGGCGCGACCCCTGCAGTCTCTCGGGGAGGGCAGGGCACCTCGCGGTCAGTCCCGGTGCACCCCTTCCTCCCCCGGCGCCCCATCCCAAACCCCGTCCGGTCGCCAAAGGCTAGAGAAGGGCGCGCGGGTGTAGCCCGTGCCGTAGTCGTAGGGCACCTGGTGGTGCGGCTGCGGCAGCGCGCAGTCTGGAAAGAAGGGGGCGAAAGAGGCCACAGGGCCCGGCCCGTCCTCCACCCCGGGAGAGTCCGCCGCGGCGGGGTACAGGGGGCGCAAGGCCTCGTTCAAGGTCAAGCCTCCGGGGGACGCAGCCAGGGGCGGCTTCTTGGCGGGGGGGCAGCTCTGGGCGCTCCAGGGCTCGGGGGACAGTAGATTCCCCAC